TTTTCGGTTGCTTCACTCCCTCATCTTAACCAATTTCTCCTTCCCTTTCCCTTGTGTAGCTTGTTTTTTGCGAGTTGGAGTTTTAGTATTTGAATCACTGCCCGATAGCTCCTTCCTTTTTGTAGCATTTCGCTATGTTATAGTCTCTCCAACTCCTAAAGCGTTACACAAGGTATCCCAATTCAATGAGGTATCACCATCAAATATCAAATCTCTTCCGTCACCATCATCGTCATCATCATCCAATACTCGAACTAACCATTCATTACAATTGTCAATATGATCCAGTAAAATTGCGTCAAGATTATCCCTAACATCAAATCTCATCTTAAATTGTTGATTGTATTTGACACAATCATGCAGTCTTTTATGCTCGAGCCTATTTTTGGAATAAATATAATTACAAAAATATTAGTTAATAATTACAAAAATTGTAATGATAAGTAATACGAATCATTGCAAAAAAAAAAAAAAGTTAACGACTACTGATACTTACTATAAAACACTCCAATTGCGTTCATAGCCCGATGTACTACATGCCATGCTAAGTATTTTCATTGGCAGACTTTGTAAATTTGGACTTGCTAACCATATAATCTCCACCATTCATTTACAATAAAAGTTTATGAATTTTGATTTAAAAATTAAATGGAACTATTATTAAAAAAATAAAATATATAATATTTTTTCCTCACCTACAGCAGCGATTGTCCAAATCTTTTGCAAAATCACTTCTAAAGAAACTACCCCAATATTATAAAGTATCAAATTTGTCATTATTTTCGATGAGGCCTCTTTGTCCACCAACCTCCCTATTAATGCACTCCATGTATTTAGTACTAATCTCCAATTCGGAGTTCTTTTATAGAAACACTGAGTATGACTTGGAGATTAGTAGTGGATTAATGAGTGCATTAAGAGGTTGGTGGTGGATAGAGAGGCGCAATCGAAAATAATGACAAAGTCTATTACTCTATTTTCTAAGACTTGTAGTGCTCTCTTAGGAAAGATTTTGCAAAACAACACTGGCACCCTTGCTCTAGATGAGGAAAAAGTATTATATATTTTAATTTATTTATATTAGTTCCATATAATTTTTAATCATAATTTATACACTTTTATTGTAGATAAATGGTGGCTATTTTATGGTTGCCAAAGTCCAAATTTTGGTGATGAAAATTCTTAACTTGACATGTTGTGCATCTGGTTGTGATCACAATTGAAGTTCTTTTAACAGGTACTAGTAGTATTTAACTTTTTTTTTCAATGGTTCGTATTATCCATCATTATTATTTTCTTAATTATTTTAACTAGTATTTTTGTAATTATTTTTATTCCAAATTCATTTAAAGAAGAGAAATAGATAGAGCATAAGAGGTTGCATGATTTGTTGTTGTCACATACAATCAACAATTGAATATGAGATTGGGTGTTAGGGATAATCTTTATCCAATTTTGTCAATCATATTGACAATTGTTATGAGTGGTTAGTTGGTCAAACGAATGATGGTGTCAGAAGGGATTTGGTATTTGATGATGGTGTCTTATTGATTTGGGATACCGTGTATGAGGCTTCGGAGGTTGGAGAGCCTATAACGTATACGAAGCGAAATGCTACAAAAAGGAAGGAGCTTATCGGGCGGTGGTTATAGTATTAAGAACTCCAACACGAAAAAACAAGCTACGAGAAAGTGGTTGAAGATGAAGACGTTGAGTTTGAAGATCAAGATGAGTAATCTCAAGAAGAATAATATTTTATGGATTCAGATGGAGAAGAGGGAGATGCTCTACTTGATGATAACATGTAAAATGATTATGTTGGGCTAGAGGAGGAGGATTAATCATTTGATTTGCATTTTATTTGTCCTTGCTTTTGGTTTGAGAATTTGAAGACTTGAACTTGTTGAATGTTTGTGGTTTAATCTGTTTGGTTGACTTATTTTCCCTTGGATGTGTGGTTATTTTGAACATGTTGAATGATGTTTGGTATGTTGTTTTGTTGTGAAACTGATGTCTCTTTTGTAAAACTTTGTTTTTGTGTTCATATCTAAATTTTATATGTTTTTCCGCTACGCCATAGACATCTGGAGGTTTTTTGGCTGCCTCTTTTCTATGCATAAATTGACTTGCTACACCTGAAATAATGTTTTGTTTCTGTATCAATTTCAGCATTTTGAAGCAAGGCTTTATGTTAAAAATAACCAGGGCTTTGAAATACCGGTCAGTGTAGTAATTAACAGTGATTTTTTTATTTGATCTTTTACATGCCTCAAGATGTCAATCACAGTGTCACACTCATATGAGGGTGCAAATGGTGTTTAAAAAGAAAAAATAAAATAAAATAAAATTAAGGAACAAGTTAGAATCTGCTGTTTTTTATCTAAATGCTGCTGATAATGGAGGATTGCAGAAGCAGAAATCTTCTTACCACTGGGACAAGGTAACATAGGCTAAACAACCACTCCCCACAAACATAAGAGAGAACATAAAATAAGATGCATGCATATGTAAACGACCTGAACACCCACCCTTGTTCAACTTTTGACTTGTAGTAATTATGTTTAATTTGTAACAGAGGAGTAAGAAATACGTCGAGCTAAACAACGGGGATCACGTGACAGCCAGTGGAAAGGTACTTCTGTTGGTGCCTAACATGGGAAGAAAATGAAAATGAAAACGAAACCCCTGTTTATTGCAATGTGCATTGTTTAAAGGAGTTGTTTCATTCATAATTCTAGGTTGCAGATAAAGACATAAAGTGGTGCAAAAGTGAAGACGAATAAAATTGGATAGAACGGTTGTAAAAGATTTTATGAAATACTTTCTTTTAAGATTGTACGGAACATGTGCCGGCAATATCATTTTCCCATCGGAAGGTACTTTCTGATTTTCGGGAAGGTCAATGCCGAATGCTCATGTCCGTAATGAAATCAAATAACTAGAACAAGTTCGGAAGCAAAAGCAAAGTAAAGCAGATCGGGTTTCTTATCTTAAGACTAGGGTTGCAAACGATTCGAGCCGAGTCGAGCATTGGCCTTATCGAGCAGGATTGAGTTTTTCTTAAGCAGCTCGAGCTCGAGCTCGACTCGATAAAGATTTACAATAGCTCGAGCTCGGCTCGTAAATTTTTAAGTGGAAAGGTAAAATTACCATTAAGCACCTATGGTAATATATATAATAATAAGAAGTATTTTAGTAATTTAATGTGTATCTCGAGCCGCTCGACGAGCCGCTCGACAAGGGAAAATATGGGCTCGAGCTCGACTCGAGTTCGTGCTGGAGCCGCTCGAGTTTGACTCGAGTTCAGTCAAACTCGAGCTCGAGTCCAGCTTTCATTCGAGCGCTTGCTAGCCGCTCGATTCGTTTGCAGCCCTATTAAGACTAAACATAAGAAAGGGAAAGAAGTTTGGGAAAAATGTAAAGAGAGGAAAGGGAAAGAAGTAGTGTGGGGTGGCTTATCGGGCTTTCAAATATTATTTATTTATTTATTTATTTATTTTATTTCTATTTTTGGATATATATTTTGAAGTTAGAGGGTGGCCCCAATGTATTTCACAAATCTGAAGCAGCAGGACAAATGGGATTTTGATTTTCACAAGTTTGTATACATGACACATCATATGAGTCCCTTTTATTTTTCACAATTCGATCCTCAACAAGGTATCATGAAAATCATGAGATTTACATATTATTAGTACTGTGTATTTTCATGTAATTATGCTTTATAGGGATGAATCAACATCTTGTTAAGCAGTCTTGGAAGTGTTTATTCTTGATCCACTTGGAAGATTTGAAAAAGTAAAATAAAATAAAAAATAAAAAACCACTAGTTCATGGTCACAGATCAAGACTTTTTTTTTTTTTTTT